TGCTCAGGCGGAGTTCAGAATGGCTCCGCAAAACATCGGAGCCCTGTTCCAGCAGCACGGTTTTGTTTCAGGATGTGCAGAACATCCATGTCTGAAATGGCACGAGTGCCAGGTGCCATCCTCTGCTGGGTATGTCAGAAATGAGGCACCCTGCTGCCACATGTGTGTTTTGAAGCTGGTTCCTTCCATTTTGTTACAGCTGGAAGATGCAGACTGTGGTTATTCCTTTCAGGAAAGGGTCACTGAAATGTCCAAAGTTGTTGGAAGCAGATAAAGCACAAAGCTGCTACAGCACCCATGCATGTTGTGCAGTGACATCTCCAGAGAGATTCCTGCCTATGGAAAATGGGCCCAGAGCCTCAGAGTACTGATAATTTTATTAATTACTCCATGTTCTATATTATCAGAAAAGCTGGACTAACCCCAGCTCTCCTGGAAAAGTCAGGTTTTAAAAGAGGTGGAGACCAACAGGTTGCAAATGCCTGGGTCACACTCCACTGGAGCTGCTTTGGTATCTGTGAAGCTGTGGTGTTGAGAGGAATGTTTGGAACTGGTGTTTCCACGAAGAGGGTACAAAAGTGTTGGCAAAGGGTGATTATTTGGAAGCAAATCTTCCACACACTGAAGTGTCCTTTCCACTGTTACACATTCTGAGATACCTCATCTCTCCAGCTGCTTAAATCAAAAGTCTGTTTGATGGAAAAAAGAGTTGTAACAGAGAATCTGAGACTTTTCTTTTTCTCTCTCACTGGGCACCAGGGTGTTTAAACTGCAAAATTCACAGCAAGGTACAAAGTTCTTAAGGACCACAATCTTTACTTCTAGTCTAGGTTTTCAAAGTTAAAACTGTCTCCCCAGTTTTTCCTTCCTACTGATGCCATTTTCATTTTTACCTATTGATTTTGCTTTGGTGAGCTCATCTGTACCAAATTAAATAGCCCTGTGCAGTCACTCCAGTGTACACAATAATGTGATATTCAATTTACAGAGCACCAAGTCCATAGAGAGGGAAGAGCCCTCCCTTTAATTAGCAAGAGCCTCTTGGGAGCTGCAGCTGCTCTCTTGCCAATGGCAAATATTAAATCCTAGGAATCATATTTAAAATGCTAAAAATGGCAAATATAAAATCCCAGGATATTTCTGAGCTCTGACATTCACTCTGCAGGACATGATGCTGTTGGAAGCAGGTCTCACCTGCAGGGCAGGAGAACACATCAGCAATGTTCTCTCTGTGTATATTGCCAAGATTTAGGAATTGATTAGCCCAGCACTCTGGCCAGCTCTACTTCCTACTTAGTGGTGGCCAGGCGTGTTTAACTCTTTTTAATTTTCGTTTTTTAAAATCCTGACAAAGATGGTTTCAATCTTCAGCAGAAAGTACTTGTGGGAAAATGTATTTCCTTGGAAAATTTCTTCTTGTTTGACAAGAATTAAGGTATCTTATTAGCCTTTCTAAATAATGTACCCAACCTGCCTTCAGAGAACTTTGCTGATGCACAATTGAGGCCATGGTAGACAAGACACGGCCTCATCTCAGATCTCCTCTGATGCATAAAATGTGATGTCCAGCTGGCTGCTGCATAAATAAACATTTTCCTGTAGGACAGCCACACCTCAGGTGTATAGGAATAGCTGATAATTGGTGTCAGTAAATCATTATAGTGCAAGCCACAAACATAATCACTCAGTTTGTAATTTACTCCTGATGGGGGTACTTGTTCTCCTCAATACTTAATATGTCTGTTTATAGAAAAGTTGATTGAGATAATTAGCAGCAAAAATGCTAAGGTAACACAGCTATGGTAACATTTAAATTGCCATCAATTTTGTTTATAGCAGCCTAAAGAGCAGTGCTGAAATTAGAAATTAGCTACAATTAGCAAATAAATTGAGTGTCTCTTGGAATTACTTGATCATGTCTTAAAATGTTGCACAGTGAGATGCTCACAGAGGCAAAGCTGAGTCCCTGGGCTGCTCAGCTATACCAAGTCAAGGAGAACACATCTTGCTTTGCTGCTGCTTCTGGCCTTCCATGGAGCCTGGGCTACTGCCCCACAGTACAGGTTTGATGAGTGCATGCTGTGAAGCCAGAAAAACCCAAAATGTCTCTAAGGGATTTGTCTCTCCATGGGGGAAAAGAAGGTGGAGTGGGATTTTCAGTGATGTACAGACTTGTGGGCAGCAACTCAGAGGCTGTAACACTTCCACCAGCTCAGTAAATGAACCTTGAGACACACATTTACTGTTGGCAGCTCCATATGAAAGGAATAACTTGGGCTGGAAATGTGTTGTTTTCCCAGAAGATAAGCCACAGATATGGAAGGCAGTTTTCTCTGATTGCCTGAAATGTGTCTCTCTGGAGGGCCTTGGGCATCATTTTTTATTCACAGTTAGAAATAGTTTGCTCCCCCCAGTAAGGTACTTTAAGGATCCTGCTTGATAAATGCTTTACAGGGGCATGTAATTATTTTCCTGGCATAATTTCATAGTTTGATGTGGAAAGAAATGTGTTGTCTACTACTGTTAAAATGGGTCATTAAGTGCAGTTTTGAGAATGAAAAGAGGACCGGAGTCAACCAGTTTCAGGATCAGCCACTGACTCACCTCTCTCACCTGACTCATACAGTAAAAGTTTTCTCATTCTTTCACCCTTGGTTAAAACCAGACAGGGAATGGTTTTCTGCCTTTCAACCCTGTGTCCAGAGAGGAGAAGGTGAGCTGAACATCCCATGCTCCTCCTTAGAGCACAGGTCTCGAGTATTCATCCAAATCTCACATGATGGCTCTCAGCTGCTGGGATCTTGCCCAGTTTTGGATGCACATGTTTTATTATACTGCAGATACTCTTCTATTTAGTGTAAGTTTAAGTAATTATTGGTCTGGAAGGGAAGGAGACAAAATCTTCACCCTGTACTTAGCCATGTGCTGAAAGGGTGTGGAGAATCTGAGTCGTGTCTGTGCTCCACTTAACAGCACCTGATCCTCATGAAGTGAAACAGGAGACCCTGTCTGGCCTGGAAAGAAATGGCCACAGCTGAGGAGCTGTGACATTTGTCTGGGATGTGGAGAAAAGGTGGCATGATGATGTTCACCTGGTGATACACAGATATCTGACTCCTTGCCCCCTGTGCTCTACATCCAGTTCTTTGGGATTGGAAATACCATTCTTGTCCAGGGAAACATCCTCTGCTGGTGTTAAAAGTTACATATTCCCAGAAAAAAAACAAGTCATCTGGGGTAAATTTCAGCATCTTCTAAGGAAGAAAAATTTCCTTGAGTATCTCCTGGCTGTTTCCTTCCCTCTTTCCTCCTCGTCAGCAGATATTGGATCTTTAAAGAGCAAAACTGGGCTAAGGGGGAAGAAGTGACTGAGTGTCAGGGGAAAGCAGTCCAAGGGATTATGGATGGGGCAGTCACACCACAGCCAGACCCCCACTGGGAACTGAGCACCAGGATCAGACAGAGTGAGAGTTATCTGGCCTGAGGCTGCTGCTGCCTTTTTTGTTGTGCTTCCTTCAAAGCCAGGTGTCTGTGTTCCCTGTGGATTTCATCTGTGGAGAATTTATCACTGATAAATAACTGTTTGTGTTGAATTTACAGATGAGCTAAACTGTTTTCTTTAATGTTGCAGTTTAGTACCTTTTCATTTCCAGGTTTGTGTGAGCACTGGCCTTCAAAGGAAATAAATCTGTCACTCAGATAATGTACTTGCCCTTGGTACCAAAATACATAAATAAGAGTTACAAGGTCATTAAGCATATCAATAGAAAGAAAAATGTGCTGTGCATTAAATAGCTGACTTCCAGGCTAGGTTGGGCAAATAGTATACTAAAGTGTGCTGCTCATTTCTCCTTCTGATTGTGAAAATCAATTAATTTTTTTCATTTGGTTTGTTGTTTGGTTTTTTTTGTAGCGCTTCCTCTTTGCACTGAAAAACCTCAGCACACGTCAGTCCAAATTTATGAGCAGTGTATTTTTCAGTGTATTCCATTTATCAAATGTAAATTTCAGTAGCCAGTGATTTACTACAGAACTGTTTGGAAAGCAGCAACTAAATATTACCTAACAAAGTATAAAAAAAAAGAAAAGCCAGAGCAGAGATTTTATTTGCCACTTCCCAAGCACTTTATCTTTGTCCTTGAGAAAGCAGGTTAGGTGGAGAATGCCCCAGTATAGTTCTGGAATGTATCTTGTACAGAAATGTGTTTTTATTCTCAGTAAAAGGCAACCTTGGAAAGTACTGGATTACTGCTTATATTTTAACACCTTTCATTTTCAGACTCTCCTACTAGGTGCAGACCTGAAGGGGCTGAATCCATAAGCCTCCCACACTCTGGATCAATCCAGATCTTGCTGATGCAAAGAGACAAGTCCTCATTGTCCCCTGCCGTGGAGTTCAGACAGTAAACAATCAGCAGGGAGAAAATTGCACAGTGTGGGTTCCATGGTGTCTGGGCAGGCTGGGTGACACAGCCTCCACTCAGCCCCTTTTAGCCCTCTTCATCAGCTCAGGGGTACAGAGATAAGATGATGAGAGGTCTGGAGCACCTCTCCTGTGGAGACAGTCTGAGAGAGTTGGAGATGATTAGTCTGGAGAATAGAGGCTCTGGGGTGACCTTAGAGCCCTTTCCAGTCCCCATTCATGTGTCAAACACAGCCAGATGACACGGCTGATTTTTGTTGAAGTTTCAGTAACAAACACTAGATTAAAATAGCACCCATGGCAGAGGTTACCACCTCACAATTTATTCTCTGCCTGATGGTCCCAAGAAGAGTGATATTATGGTGAAGGACTTGTCTCTTTATGGCTTCAAACTTATGTGCCTAATGCAGCCATCTGCATCCCCCTCAGCCCCACCTGCCCTGTGCCACGAGAGGAGAATTGTGCCATCCTTTTGAACTGACTAGCAAACACCCTACACCCCGCACCTGCAAAGAAGCTCTTGTATCACCTCTAGAGGGGAAAAAGAAGCCACGTGGCTGTTTTGTGTGCCCCCCAGGTGTGGCAGTGCGGGGGCAGCATGGAGGTGCTGCCCTGCTCCCGCGTGGCGCACATCGAGCGCACCAAGAAGCCCTACAACAACGACATCGACTACTATGCAAAGCGCAACGCCCTGCGCGCCGCCGAGGTCTGGATGGATGACTTCAAGTCCCACGTCTACATGGCCTGGAACATCCCCATGGCAGTAAGTACAGCCCACGCTCTGGCCCGAACACAGGCAGAAACACGAAGCTGTTCCTGGTTAGCTCTTGGAGGTGAAGGGCGTTACTACAGCTGCACGAAGCTCAGGGAAAGTGCTTTGGTGCGTGCTCAGTATGGAGAGTTCTGCCAGGAGAACTTGCTTCCTCAGTCCAAATTTAGTTGTGCACTCAGTCCTGACTGTTGTGTGCAGTGACACAGATTTATAATTTAACCAGAGCAAAATGTCTCAGGTTTATGTGCTCCCCCAGAAGTCGTTAATTTGGGGCGCCGTTAAACTCTGAGGTGTTCATATGCTACAACGATGGGGACAAGAGAAATGTCCATAAATAAATATCATCATTCATCGTGAGACTCAGTAGACCTCACCAGCATAAAAAACGAAGTATGCAATAAAAAAATCACACTTTAAATAGCTTTATTGTCCACAGACTGAGAGGTGCAATGTGGGCACGTTCTGCTTCTCACAACGACTTGCAGATGTTGTGTGAGTGCCTCTAGGAATCCATGTAATATAAATATTAGATAAACTGTAGGTTCCATTTATCACTTAGTTCTGTAAGTATATCACATGCTACATCTGCACTGAGCACAATTCTTGAAGAGTTTTATGTTGTATCCCAGCCAGGTGGAAGCTGGCTGTTGGTGTGTTCCTTGCTGTGTTTGCATCCAAAATATTCATGTGAAGGGGCACAGGGAGAGCAGCTGAGGGGTAACATGCACTGATCTGTAGGTAAGGATGGTTTAGCTAACCCTTACAGCAGGGGTTTGCCCAGGGCTGAAGCAAATAGGAACAGGAATGTTCCTATCAGAACAGGAAAATACGCAAACCCAGAGGTGTCTGGGAATATTCAGTTATGACCTGGAGTTCATCAGAGTCATGGGAGTCTTGTCAAAGACTTCATTAGATTTAGTCTGTCCTAAACATCTACTTGTACTTTGGTACCTAGTTAATACATGAAACCCCATTTTTGTTCGTTCCCCTTACAGTTTTTAAAATACACATTTTAAAGGAGCAATGTTTCCTCTTTGTCCATTTGATGTCTGAATATGCCAGATATTTTCACAGCTTTAAATTCACTCACTGCTGTTCAATATTGGACACTCTGTGCAATGTGTTTTTGGTGACTTCTTTTAGCACAAGAGGTAATTGCAGAGAACTATTTTGCCTTAACAAAAGGCAATAGTGCATCACTTTTTCTACACAAGATTTCTGTGACAGTAGGAAGAAGGCAGTGCAGTGTCCATTAAAAATTTATGAGCATTTTGGCCCTGTCTGAACACATAAAAGACACTTGCTAAAATGGTCAGTTTTCAATTAGGAGGTGAAAAACTAACCTCTGTAAATTTGCTTGCTTGATGACATGTGCAAATGAATTCTGAGAAAAGATGATATTTAAATAAGCATTTACAGCAAAACATGATTTCCTTTAATCTCTCTGAGATTACTTATTGATGCAGTTTTCTGCACTGAGCTATACAGCAGAGCATTTTAAAAAATCCAAGCATATCTACAATAAAAGACATAAAATCGGCAGAAGTACTGAACATTAAAATTTCCTTTTCATAAAATAAATTGATTGATTGATTGATTGATTGATTGATAAAATGTGCATCATAAAAATAAGCCTATTAGCTCTCAGGAAAAGGAAGCTGATGTTAGTGCCCATGACATTATTCAATACAGATGACAGAAGTAATGTACTTTTGGCATAAGCCATCACAAAAACCTTCTGCAGGAGAATTAGAAACCTTGCTATCTGGTTAAAAAAGAATATGTCCAAAAAGTAAATCCTGTGGACACCTCATTCTTGTGCCATCACACTGTAACCTGCCCATGGTGACTGCAGCTGGCACAGAGGGTGAGCACAGCTCAATTTGTTTCCATGTCTGCTCCATTTGTGCTCTTGTGCTCTGTAGAAACAGCACTGCAAAAAAGGGCTCTGTATTGCCTCATTTTAAATAGGGCAGAAAAGCAGTAGGTAAAACACATGCATTTTCCCATACCACAAAATCAATCCAAATTAACTTCTCTGTAATTTATATTCTTAACTTCTTCACTTTCACTCATCTTCCCACCATCTTTGTCATGACTCACAGGTTATTGAGAGTGTGTGCATAATGTTTCTCTAGATCAGCAGATGGTCTTGGGCACACCTGCAGGATCATGTTCAGCAGCAGGTCAGCACAGCTTCATTCCAGTTAACCAAATACTTGGTACATCCCCACTTACGATGTATTCCTCAACAATTTTAGTGATAAAGGAATCTTACATTGCACTGAGTGCCTCAGAGGATTGCTCTCCTTCCACGCAGCCTCAAGTACTACGTAAATTAACATTCATTTGAATGGATGCTGCACTGAGGGCTCCTGACAGAACGTGCATCAGCAAGCAGCAGTGAGCACAGCAAACTCTTTATGTGGCAAATAGGAAAACCTGTTCAGTATTACACTTCTATTCTCTACTGAAAACCAGGCATCTGTTGGGGATCTTAATAAACCCTGAGCTAAGATTTGCTGCTGTCTTGGAACCCTGCATTAGAAACAATCTGGAAAATGTAAAGATATTCTTCTGTAGGAAGAGCACAAGGCACTTCAGAGAGATCTCATGCAAAACTCCCCAGTTTCAGTCCATTTGATTAATGTAGTGTCAGAAAAGGTTTTTGGATGAGGTAACTCTTACTGTCTTAATGTTGAACTGTGATGATTTATAACACTGTAAATCAACAGACTCTAACTCAGGACCCACCAGTTTTAAATGTCTGACTTTATTCATATTAACTTGAATCTTCCAGTCTGTGTCTTTGATGGAATTTGTATTTAAATGTGAATTAAATTCTGAAGTAGAATTATAAAGGTTTTGAGTTTAACTGCACTCTATGGCTCAAGTCTGCCAATGAGCTCCAGTTGTAGTAAAAACTGAATGCTGGTCTGTATGAATGCTTAGTTTTGAGCAGCTTCGCTTTAAAGTTTTAACAGATCTGTTCTGACATCATTTACTTTACTGAACACTCAAATCTCTTACTGGAGTAAAGCATGACCAAGCTGCCATATTTTAGATCAGAATTACTGCTGAAATTCTAAATGAATCTGAAAGCAAAGACTTCAGGATTGATTGCAAACACTTAAAACTGCTGTAAGTAAAAACATTCTTATTGTATTCTTATTATTTTGATTTATTTTGGGGTTTCTTTTATTCTTTATGTCCTTTTTCCACTGGCTTTCATTAATATTTATTGTCTGCTCTCAACACCAGCTGTTTGATGAGCTGCTGCTCACAACAAAAGAAGGAAAAGAGGAAAATACAACTTGATGTACAAAATGAACTCCAGTTTGATTTCAGTAAAGATAGCAACCATAAAGCCAGTGCAGTGAAATTTCTTTATTTGTTTTCTGCTTTGTAGAACCCCGGAGTTGACTTTGGAGACGTTTCTGAAAGAATTGCTCTGCGACAGCGCCTGCAGTGCCGGAGCTTTAAGTGGTACTTGGAGAACGTGTACCCTGAGATGAGGGTTTACAATAACACAGTCACTTATGGAGAGGTACAGCACGTCTTTGGAAACACATCACAGCTGCACTCGAGCAGTCCTCTGCTTTCAGAGCTGGCTATCAGGATGTACCGAGCAATTACACATCAGCACAGCAGTGGCAACAAAAATGCCCTCCCCTCCTTTTAATCAACACTAAGGACCATGGCTGTTCCTTTTGTTGGAGAGCAGCAGGTTGTAGGCACACAGTTTGTGGTGATTGGGAGTGGGGCTGTGGCTGAGCCCCATCCCCAGTGGGCACAGCTGTGAGCAGCAGTGACAGCAATGAGCCATGGAGTGCCCAGGGGCACTGAGCAACCACCAAAGGGATCAGAGGCACACAGGTGCAATGCATGAACATGAGGGGTATAAAATGTTGGGCTAAAGAACAAGAAAGGCAGATGCTTGAAGGCTTCTGAAGTGACCTGATGTTACTGTGTGTGGGTTGAAGCTGTCTGATCTTGTATGGTGATACTCTGTGTATCGCGGCCGTCTCAACTGCGACACATGCTGAGACACAGGTGAAGTCATCCTTACTGACAATTGCACACAACCTCCTTGGCTCTCATTTTAAAACACTGAGACAAGTTTGAGGCAATCATTTTCCCAAATAAGATGCCGCAGACATCATAAAGAAAATGTCAGTGGTCAACAGAGCTCAAATAATTGTCTACATGAGCTGCAATTAAACCCGAAGGCAATATATTTTCCCACAAGACAGCTAAATGGAGACTGTTCCTTTCTCTTCCATTTGATTGACTTCATACAAAAATAAGTCAGGCACTTGAGACATTGATACAAAGTGGAAGTTTTATTCCATAATATCACTTTGCATCCTGATATAACTATCTCCATCAGGAACTGAGGAAAAATGCTGAGTAAATTCAAGAGGAGCTCTTGGTGTCTGTCAGCTCTGAGAAGGTCGTTAGCAGTGAAGAACATTGGCAGAAGTGCCAATGTTGTGTCAATTATACCAGACCCTGAGCAATCTGGGCTCTAAAATAAATTTTGTTTCTCTTGAGCTGTCACATAGAAGGTTCTTGAGTCCAAAAGGAAGTCTAGTGATGCAAATATCAAATTCTTTAACATTTTTAATAGAATAGAGACACACAAGGTATTTACCTGTTATAAACCAGCCTAGGTCCCTTTCATTCTTAGGCTTCATCCTAATGACATCTAGCTTGTTGTAAAGTACTTTTGGTTATTTTCCTGGAGGAAAAGATGTCTGAATTTTTGTGAGTTTCAAGAAAAATAAATGTATTGAGTAGATGTGAGACAGATTGAAACAGTAGTAAAAATATATTTCCTAGTGACTCAATTCCCCTTTTTTAAAGCCATCTCATAAAGTTGTCTTCATCTTCTTTAGCCTTTACAGCACCCAAGCCATAAAATAAACCTCCTGAAATTCAGTTGTTGGTGGGGCCCCTTATCCAGTTGGATTCCCTGTTATGCTTGTACACTATAATATGAAGGAATATAAACTGATTTTTTTCTGACAACTTATGCAGCAGCTGTTTCTGAATTATGGGGGTGGATAGACAGGTACATCACAGTCTAAACCAAAATTGACCTGTTGAGTCTTTTGAGACTCAACAGTAAATAACTTCTTGTTTACGATATCTCTAAAGTTTTTCTATGTTCAAAATATGTGTGTAATGCTTCCAGCCTCAAGAGAAAGGCTGGAAGTGTTTTCACAAGAGCTCCATCCCAGTTTTTATAGACTTGTAAATTCTTCTTGTCTAGGGAGGCACAGGAACTTTTTTACCTCCTTGGATCTCTGAACCTGTGCCCTTTCATAAAATGCGGTTTATGTCACTTCTCTACATAACAATGTACTGTATTTTCAGTTCAGATGAAAATTTTTACATGCTTTTTTGGTTTTATATCAGCAATAGGAAGAAACAAAAGCATGTCACATCCAACACCAATCCTGGGTAGCTCCTATCCTGTTTGTGAAGCCACGTTCTCATCATACAGGGTCAAAATTTATGTTTGCACATTGGCAATTTGGAGCAAAACTCGGCCTGGGTTTCTTAGGGTGAATTTTAGGAAGTTCTTATTCTTGAGTAATTGCCAAAAATGTACCTCTGACCCAAGGTGTGTAGAGACAGCAGGTTGTCCAAATAATGTCTTTTCCTGGAGCAGATTCACTGCTGGCACCCTGTCATAGCTGAAGGAGAAGCATGTGTCCCTCAGAGAGCTTTTCCTGGAGCAGATTCACTGCTGGCACCCATAGCTGAAGGAAAAGCATGTGTCCCTCAGAGAGGAGTTTTACATAGTACTTTTTTCAGGAGCTGTAGCACAGCTGAGATTTAGCTGGGCTGGGCTAAAATAGGGATTAATTTCCAGCTGAAGTTTTCATTCTGATCTGGTTCTAGGTGCGGAACAGCAAAGCCAGCGGCTACTGCCTGGATCAGGGGGCTGAAGAGGATGACAAAGCCATCCTTTATCCCTGCCATGGAATGTCCTCCCAGGTAAAGGGTGAAAATCCCATCATGAGTGAGAAACCTTGAACTCAGAGAATATTCAGAAGAAACAAAGAGTAACTGGATGTATCTGGGTTGAGTTTTGCAGGATAATTCCTGAGCTGCAAAGGCAAATGCCTGGCTTTACCCCAGTCTTGTCAGGTGCCTTTTCCAAGGTTGTCCAGCATGTGAATCCATACTTTGAAATTGCCAGTTAGGAAAGACAGAAGAATCATGTTACTTTGTTTAAATAACAGGGATCCACTGAAGTTTAATTAATTTAGGTAGTCTGTGTGAGTGAGCAGTTCTTCTTGCTATGGCATGACTTATTCATGGTACCTCTTTAATTTAACTGTTCCTTGGTCCAACAGGCTCCTGGGCGGAAATTATTTATCAAGCTGCTGATTTGATCCCCCAAGTAGGCAAAAAGTTAAACACATATTTAACATCAGCTTCAAAGGGAATTAAGAATATCCTCTAAGACTTTTCTAAAATAGAAGATTTCTCTCTCTCTCTTTTTTTTTTTTTTTGTCAGTCCCTGTGCATATTATTATTTTCTTTCAGATGTCTGAAGATTTAAAAATGACATTTCTTTTTTCCGTGCTCATAGTGATTTTACTTCTACAAGTTGGATATTATTTAAATCCAGGACTTGAGCTTTTTCTGAAATGCAGTCCTTGTTTCTTTTGAAGTAGCATCTGAATCAAAACTATATTAATGAACATTCTCATGTGTAAATAAACCCTGACCTTATCAGGCTTAACAATTATCCGAGGTTCAGTCATGCATATATTGATTGGGAGTCCTGGCTCGTGCATCACCACGGAGGCAAAGCAAGACAGACAGTAATTCCTGCTGGCACAATGTCCACCTTTGGCAGGATCATTATGGAGTATTTGACTGACACTCTCCTAGTAGAGGTGGAAGGAGCAGCCTTTGAATAAGGTAACAAAATAGCATCGCTTAAATAGATGTAAATTAGCTTCTCAAGAAGACTCTCATTAGAGATGTCAAGGTGCTCAGAGAGAGTTCAGTCTCCTGCTCCATCCTAATCGGAACAGAAAGTTGCAAATTTAAGTCCTTCCTGAATGTCCCTTAGCAACATCTAATCTCTATCATAGTGTGCTAGCACTTAGAAGAGTAATGAAATAAGTGGTTCTGACTGTAATTTATTTTGCAATTTAAGTCCTTAACCTACTTGTTTGCTTCCATGATTCCTGTTTCACAGAGTAGGCTTTGATTTTGGGAAGAAAATAGTTGAGGGCATAAGTTACAGTGAATTCTTCCCTTTAAATCAAACAAACAAACCAACAAAAAACAGGAAAAGAGTTTTCATTCTGCAAGAAACACCAAGTGAAGGCAGAGGTGATGTTTTATCTAAGTTGAGTATTTCACAGACAAGCATGGGTTCAAATGCAGCCAAGTTAATTAATGATTACACAGCTGGAAAACTTCTATAATCTCACCACAATTTACAAAATTAATTCAGTGTGAGAACCACAGCTGCACAAACCCTAATCAAGGATATTCAAGCACATAGCATGAAAGGTGTTGACAGCAAGCGTTTTAATATATTAAATAAACATTTTTTAAGCCCCTCTTCTAATCAGGCTGGGTGAGCATAGTTGTCTGCTGCATTTAGCTTTCCATTTCTGACATTTTTCATCTCAAGCACAGGACATAAAATACCCCTACTGAGCCGAGATTTGGGTTAATTGTACATTTCTAGTGAATATAAATTCATATAAATATGGAACTCCCTTTCCCCAGTTGGGTTATCACTGGTGTTCATATGTCCTACCAATGGGAACGTCTCTCCCTGTTTAGTACAGCCCTGTTTGCTTTTCATACTCTTCAATTCTGACAGAATTGAAGCAGATTACCAGTTATTTTAGTGTACACATGGTTCCACTGAAACCCACCCAAGTCAGGCAGGTGTTTAAAGAAATCTGAGTTAGCAATAACATTATTGTTCATCTGTGATAAAATGTTCTTTTTCTCTGTGTCTTACCCTTCTGTTTCCCTTGGATGTTTTTGTCCCAAATTACAGTGGCAAAATAAAAACACTCCACTGTGACTGCCTTTCCCTATGTGTATTTTCAAGATCAGTTTTCACCATGATAAATCACATCTTTGTAATGATATCAGCTTTTAAATTTCTTTATTCAAACAGGGACAAGCTCTTTTATGGATGCTCTGGAATGCATTTAGCCTGAGTTTACATCAATTTAGTTTAATGTGTTTGACTTGAGCGAAGTCATTGTAAGCCAACAGCTAAGAATATCCAGACAAGGTTTTGCATCAGTCTGAGTTGATTTCAAAACCTATTTTACAGCAAGGTAGTGTCCTTTTCATATGTGTTCATTGGGTCTGAAGTTTGAGTCTAATGGCTTTCAGGAAAAAAAAAAAGTTTGCAAATACTGTGGGGAGAAACAGTCCAGGGCTACAGAAGATTTGTAAATAAAGAAATATATTTGGAGTCTTGACCTGCTCTGCCTCTGTGTGTGGCTTCCATTGTGCAATCAGCTGCAAAGCCCAGTGGTACTATACACTTTTGTAAAAAAAAGGGAAGTAAAAAAGTGAGGTTGTGAGGACAGGTGGACAGATACAAGCCCCTCAAAAGTGGAATGTGCTGTTCTGGAAGCTTTATAGAATGGTTAGAGGACATGCAGGTTTTGAACCATCTGAGAGCACTGCACAGCCCCAGTGGAAATATTCACTGTCTCAGAGCCTGCCTTGAGTGCTGTGATGTGGAGCTGATTATATGGTATGTGAAAGAGAGGAGAACTTAATGAAATGGCTTCTTGGGATAGAAGGGCCGGGGTGAACAGCCTCCTTGTCCACCCTCCTCCCTTCCCTTTCACAGCAGAGAGAGGGGAGGCAGTGCAGCCGTGAAGGAGAGAACTCCCTCTGCATTGAGAACAACCCGAAGGAGGGAGAGCTCCCTGCTCGATTCCTGGGGCTGCAGCTACACAAACAGAGTGAGAGAAGATGAAAGGCTTTGCTTAAACTGTTGCTAGAGGGCAGGTATTTCACATTTTGCTGGGTAGAGCTGTGACTGCCCAGATTGGTGAGCAGGGCAGCAGGGTGGATGAACAGGTCCTTTCTCCACTTGCAGGAAGCAGTGGGTGGGATTCTGGAGCAAACATGGAAGTTTGATAACCTGTGATCTGTTTGCCTTGAGGGGGCAGGTATTCTGGAGATGCAGGGTGTTTGGGATTCCTGCATCACTCACTGCTTCTGTTCCTGTGTCAGCTGACAGCTTGCCTTAACTGCAGGACTGAGGAACCATTAAAGATTTCCTTTTGCCTGGAGAGCAAGAGTGAGAGAGGGAGGTTAAATTTAGTGTGGAAAGCTACCAGACCCATCCTAGTAACTGTTTTCTACAATTACCTGCAATCATTTGGTGCTTTTTTCACTTGACTGGAAATTAGCAGGAATGGATGTTTTTGAAGTCAAATCCTCCAGTTTTATGCTGCTGTTTTCTTACCACATTAATATTCCTGGAGGATCATATTCCATAGGCAGCAGCACTGACTATTTCTGATCCAGGTATGGTGGGTTTGATAAACAACCTTTGACATCTTTTGCATTCTGTTCAGATTTCTGAATGTTGAAGGGAAAACTGTCCTATCTTAAATCAGTATAGCAGATGGTATCAGGATTAGATCTTGAGTATTTAATAGAGCACTTGGCTTCAGTGTCATTTGAATCCTTCAGCTCTTCCTAGACAAAAGAGAAAAACTGAGTGAAGGTCCATCCCAATGTGATGTATAAAAGTGTGCTTCTGTTCTGCAGCTTGCAATTTGGAGTGTGTGGATATCTAAGGATCTCAGCCCATCAAAACCTGCATAGATTATATTTTTAAAAAATTCATAAGATTTAATATTTCTTAACAAAGGGAACTTTGTCATTTGATTTTGGCTCTGGGAATGGATTTGACATGGTGTATCATGCCCACAGTCCTAACATAAATAGGAATTATTTCTTTGTGGATACATTAGTGACACTTAAGATCAAGTTTGAACACAGGAGGTATAATTTTAATTGGCTGTATCCCAGTTTCTGTTTTCTAGCCTATAGTAATAAGCAATTTCTCTTAATGCTTATTTTATTTTCACAGTTTATGCTGTCTCTAGGAAGTTAAGATAGGAATTCTCTGGAGGGAGATGTTATTTATCATATAGCCGTTTCTTGAACCTTAATTTCTGGTCTGATTTTGCAGAAGCAGGCTCTACAACTTTCCTATGTAATATGGGCTGAACTGATATAATCCTTTGTGGGTGGGTTTTTTAGAATTCTATTTTATTGCAGAATAAGCCTAAGTTTTCATGACTGTTGGATCAGCCATAAAAACTTGACAGAAAGTGCAGATTCAGGAAATTAGGCCCATGCTGTTCCATTTGTCTCAAGATTGTACAGATAAGAGTCTCCTGCACCGAGCCATCCCTGACCCTGTTGAGCTGTAACACAAACTGCCACTTTCAATCCTGCAGATAGTTTAGAATAGAGTTAATGTATCTTCCACTTCTAAAGCTTAGGCAGGACTGCTCCTTTCTGCTCTGACAGGCTGCTCTATAACAAAGTGCATGACCACTGTGATACAGAGCACATGGAACTCTGGCTACTGAGATTCTGGTGACAAAGAATGTTTAATACCAGTTCAGAAAATGCTGCTCATCTCAAAAAGGAAAATCAATCCTATCCTACAGAGCAGATAGCCCATTATAAACACTGCTTCTGATTATCTACATAAGGCAAAGCCAACAAGCTTGTGGGGCAGTATTTTGCGACTACAGAGAGATAATAAAGACTGCAAGATGAATATATTTTCTGGTCAGTGTTTCAGCCATACCTGCAGTTCATTTGAATTCTGCTGGAAACCCATTAAATAGAAGTGTGAAATATACAGTCTGGTTTTATTTAAGAAAAAAAAATAAAAGACAAAATGTCGTGTTTGATTTGCATTTTTTTAAACAGCTCCTTTTTATGTGAAAAAACAAAGCCAATTTGTCTGACCTGGCAGTTCCTTCATATTTTGAATTACTTTGCTTGCTTGAGGCTTATTTTACATATGTTCCTCCTAACCTCTTAGAGTGGGGAAAAAAAAACCCCAAAAGTGTCTTGATTAAGTGTGTCCAGACTGTGCCATGACAAAGGCCCCGTTCATACCCAGAGCATCCTCATGTGGTTTCTCTCTGATGTAGGCTCTCTTCTACCTCTGTGCTTCACATGGCTGCTCTGAACAGAAGTGGCAGGTGGGAAAATGAACACATACTATGTCAAAGAGCATCTGGTCTGGGAGCAAGTAGACCATGCTCTTTTTACCACCAGCAAGAAATGATTATTCACAGCATGATTCTTCTGAGGTTAATAAGGATGGCAGTAGAAAGCCAGACTTTAATTTGAGTTTTTTTGATTGATTCTTAATGATATCTCACACACTGGTCAGTGGCATCCAATAAATGGCAGGCACTTCTGACCTTCCTTCCCTTTCTTGTTAAGTAATTTCAGCCATATAACAGCAATAGCACCAGACAGGCAGTGAATTTCCTGGGTGGTAATTGCATTTCTTTGGTGGCTCAGATCCTCACCCTGCAGCATCCAGACTGACAGCACACAAGCCACGTAGCTGACTCCACTCTGCAGTCTTTTGGCACCTGGGTGTTGCACTTTCAGAGTAAGAAGGGCAAAATATTATGCTGGTTTAATGACTCTGGGTTTAAGCACAGAAGTGAGAAGTAGATAAGTCTGATTTGACATATTGGCCTGCTGCCAAATTAGCATCGTACATTTTCACTTTAATGTGCTTTACACAAAACTGAAATACCAGAGTGTCATTCTTTATTATGTAGGCCTGAAGCATATGTTAGCAAATTTGCTGCCATTTCCCTCATGGTTTCTTTTTTTCCTCTCATATTTTTGGATATGGGTTGCATGGCTGGATTTTTTCAGTAATGTTTATTTACAAAAACTAATTAGACTTGTTGCTATCAATAGCCTCTAACAGAGCTCTTAAGAACAAACTGCACGACAAAATTGACATCGTGTCCTTGTTAAATCAACTCCTGCTGAGTGGGCATGATTTACATATTGATTACTTCACTTCCTTGATTGCCCTTTTTGCAGTGACATGGTGGGTGGGGAGTGGTGGGGAGCAGAAGTGTGGGAGAAGAGAACGTTGTGCTCTAGGTTTTACCAACATTGCCAACATTTGCCCTTGAGCAGTGTGTCCCAGCAGGCCAAAAGGCTCCTCAGCAGCTCAGAACTCTTCTTTCTCCCCCAGCTTGTCCGCTACAGCTCGGAAGGTGTCCTGCAGCTGGGGCCGCTGGGCTCCACCGCCTTCCTGCCCGACTCCAAATGCCTGGTGGACGATGGCAAGGGCAGGACACCCACCCTCAAGAAGTGTGAAGATGTCCTGAGGCCAGCACAGAGGTTCTGGGATTTCACACAGGTGAGGAAGAGCTGAGGAAGAGAGAACTTGCAGAGGAATGATGCTCTAAAGAGTCTTTAATGAAACACAAGGAGGTCTTTGGTATTCCCCCCAGTATTTTTTGAAATAGTCAGATACGTTTTCCACACATCATGTGCTACCCAGGAATATTCTTTCATTATTACTAGAAATTTTACAGCATGATTTCTAAGAATTTTTACTTACCCTGTTTTGGAATATTCTCAATTTCTGTCCTGATTGTCAAGAACATGCTTGTAATTGTTTACTGTCCAGGAGTTCTTTGCATTTAGAACTTTTCTAGAATTTTTCTAGCACCTTTACAGGCATTTTCTAAGATCTAGAATCTTGAAGTAATTTTTAAGCCTTTCAAAAGCCTTATTATAGTCTGGGATTTCCTATTTCTTGGGCTCCATAGGGATTCACTTGTGCTTTTTAGAGATTTTCTAGTGATTTGGGTGGATTTTCCCAACAATTCCTAAACGTACAATTATCAAGGATTTGTTTTGGTACTTTTTATGTAGTAGCTAGCTTTTCCTAGGAATTTCTAGCACTTTCTGGGATATTTATCACTTGATATATACAAAAATAGATTTTATAGTGGTTTTTAAGGATTTAGAGATCTAACACTGTTTTTTCTAGTCCATTCACCTTGTGTTTTCTTTTTTTCTTTCCTCTAATCTTTTTTTTTCCTTTTTTTTTTTTTTTCCCTAGAATGGTCCAATCATCAGCAGAGACACTGGCCGTTGTCTAGAAGTGGAAATGTCAAAGGATGCAAATTTTGGGCTCAGATTAGTCGTACAAAGGTGCTCGGGGCAGAAATGGATGATTAGAAACTGGATCAAACACGGTCGGCACTGACTGTGGGGCTGAGCTGCCTCTCCTGCTGGTGTCCATTGCTCAGTGTGCCATATCCCGTGAGGCATTTGTCTTAAAGCAAATTAGTTTGAACAGGTCTTGGCTCTCAAGAGTCCTCCATCGTTGGGCATTCCAAGGAAAGAAAGAAGAAGGAAAGCAGACCCACTCATGTTTGACTCTTCCTTGCCCCAGCAGATGATGTGGGAAGCTTAACGAGAGTTTTCTGTTGATGTGGATATCTTGTGAAGACCAGAACACAACAGGAAAGTGGATTCCTCAAGCACTCCTAGGGGAATTGACAGATTTCTATTCAAAGGAGACATCCCAATACTGCCTCATAAAGAGAGTTCTCTGATGGGTAGCTTTTTAGCTTTAAGTTTTGGACTGGTGCACAACTCCTACAGTGAATAATTATGTGCCTTTTTTATTGTACTTCGTATAAAAGAGGACTGGAAAAATCCTACCTTTTCAGCATGTCTGGTTCGTTGTACTAAACAAGAAGATCTGTAAATAATGTTGGAAATATATTATAATATATGACACATTTCAAGGTTGGTTGTTTAGGAGTCTCTGTTTCTAGAAGGAGACTGTTCTGCAAATGTTTACAGGTGGTTCTCAACCTTCGAGCTGCTGGAGAGCAGCATTTTAGAGACCTCTTCTAGTTAGACACAGATAAATGTTGAATAGATAAAATAGCCACATGCACTGTTATATTGCCACATTTTACATTTGTTGGCTGTAGAGACATCACAGTTTAGCACTTGGATATTTGGCTCTTCTGAGGCAGTAAATGTCCTCGTGGATGGATGGATTTCAGGAGGCCTCAGCTGGTCCCAAACCCTGAGTGTGTGTCCTGTCCTGCAGGTCACTGTTGTGTTGTTCCAGAGGCTGCCTGGAACAAGAATACTCCAAATCCTCCTTATTCTGGAAATAACTTGACTGGCTTAGGTGCCATCTGTGGAGCTTAAAACCATGGATCGTCCATTTTGTTTCCCATCCTGTGAAAATGTCAAATGTGAGCAAATATGCTGTGTGAGCACTGTCTAGACAAATTTCCTGAATAAACCAACAAAGTCTTTTCAGCATTTGGAAAACAAACACAAGCCTAGTGATAAGAAGGCAAATTAGAGCACGAGGTAGGGAGTATATATAAATACTGTTACTCTGAAATATAAATATTTTACTGTAGCTGACCCATTGGCAGCATCTTTGTAAATCTGAATTTAATAAGGTATCCAATGGTTCATGCAGGGTCAGTGCATATTGACAGAGCAGTGACAAGGTCTCATCCAAAAGGCTGTCAAAATTGATGTCCACTGTCATCAGCAGGTTTTGGATGTGGGTCCATGGCACACAGCTTTTCTGTACAGATTATTTCAGTCATACTGAAGGAGAGACAGAGATTTCATCTGTTAATTTCACTGTTTAATATTTTGTAGTTTAAAAAAAACTTGTTTTGTTTTACTGAGCCAGGAAAATAGGCAATTGCAGTCACTGTGGTACTGTGAATCTTGATGATCTGTTCCTTGAATAAATTTTGCCATTCCTATTTCAAGGCATGCTGAACAAAATTTAATGGAAACAAAGTTAATTTTTCAAGGGCATGATATGTAATAAAATTTTTACTTTTAACAAGGTCAAATCCATCAGGTCTTATCAAGTCTTGGTTAGTATCCAGAAAGCATATCACTATATTTTGCCCCAGTTTTATTCCTGAAATAGAGTGTGCAAGATGCAATACAAAGCCAATTCTCCTGGAGTTTACTTGTGGCTAATTGCTGATCTTTATTCATGTCTCATGGACCAAGTTACACATGAACATATACAAAAGAATAATTCTGGGTGAGATTCTAGATACAAAAATACTTAAAATTCTGTGTTTATGGTAAGTTGTACACAACCTTTTGAACAGTGTAATAAGACCTGCAGGGAGAATAGCATCTTTAATAAATCAAGCAATACTGTATAAAATCACGGACAATCTCAGTATTCAAGCCTTCCTGCAGGTCCAAAACAGGTAGAAAGCCTCAGGCTAAATATGGATTGGGAACAGCTGCCCTGCTTTTAACCTCCTTATGTTAAGCTATCAGACAATTTAAAATTATATTTACCATCTATGCAGCAGATGTTGAAGGCTTTGTACAGGAGTGAGTTTGTAAGTGAGTTTTCATCTTCTCTCCAAATACAATTTCCACCTTTTAAACTGTATGAAATCTTTATTCTCCTTTTGTTTGCTCTGATGGAGTTTTACTCCTTGAGGGAGGTGAGAAAGGAAAAGAAGGAAAAGATGGTTTTGCCAGGTGAGATTTTGGGGGAGTAACAGATCATTCACACCCATTTTTAGTCTTTCCAGTGAGTAAGTGCTAACTATTTTATATGAACATGGCAGGAAGTGGAAATTAATTATATATCAGTATGAGCTATTAGAGTATGAGGTTACAGTACTGAACACAAGCAAATATGCCATGTGCTTTCTTTTCCCCTTTTATTTTTCCTTGTCTTGAATTAGCAATCTACACTTGATCCTTGATTAGCAGTGGGGCAGCAAGCCTTTCAAACCCTGGGTAAATGAAAAAGGAAAGCTGAACATTTAGAGGAATACCAGGGTTTAAATCTACTCTCCTGAAATGAGTCTTGCATGGGCAGTTTAGGAGCTTTGAGGCTGAGAGGACCAGATAGATCTGTGTTTACTGGCAGAGATTTCAAACCTTCATCTGACACCACCACGATCAAAGAGAATTGGTTGTCTTGGGATTTTGCCCCTCAGGGCTCAGTGCAGAGCATTTGACTGTGGCCACTCTGTTTGAGAGTGGTCAGTCCTGGCAGGTTTGAATGCCAAGGCCACCAGCTGCAGGAGGCTTGTAGGAACCAGACTTAGGGTATAAGAAGGAAAACAGGTTTTTGTGGTAGATAAATGGCTTTGAGATTTACATAATAATATAAAAGAAATCAAATAACTCTTAAAAGGTGGAGTTGGTGATTGTCATTTTTTTAAGACTTGCTGGAATAATTTCTTATATTTGCAAAACACATCTGTTGGATTAGTTTTACTTTATTCTTTATCTGTATGAACCACTGCTTTGGCTGTGGTACTAACATGGTGACTCTGCATGTGAGAGGGTCTTAAATAGTCTCTCGTCAAAGGAATAATAATAAAAAAAAGACTTGAGTATTATCTGTTTTAACCAAAGTCTGTGGTTCTTTTGTTAGTATTTCACCCTTAGTATAATCTGAAATCCTGCTTAATGGTGTTCAAATTTTCAGTCTTGTTTCCCACAGTGCAGCATTCTAGATCTCATGAAAAGTATTCAATGTAGTGTAATATGCCTTGTGGAGAAAATTCAGATCAAAGGCTTTCTATGCTATTTTTTTTTTTGATTAAGGGGATTATGGAGCTAAATGCTAGGTCATAGGACAAAAGAATAGAAGGTAAGAAAGACCAGCACAAGAGTAAGAGTCTAGCACACTGTTGTGAAAGCCAAGCCAGGAAAAATATTTTTTTCTAAGCATGTTCGAGTCCCTAAAAATGAGTTTGAGTCCTAAGGTAATAAAAGCCCTTTCTTTTTTGAGAGCTACAAACTATTTTCCAAGCTGAATTTAATTTTGGTTGGGTTGAATCTATTTGTTCCTCAGCCAGAACTGTCCTCTAGCCCTTACTGGCTTCCTGGTTCCTGAGGCATGTTAAGCTCCAGTGGGAAGGAAACAAGAGAAATTTGATGTTTTGGAAGGACCTACTGGATTCCTGCAATCATGTAAGATCTTTATTGTGCTCACCCACCAGGACTCTTCAGGGCTGTTCCACATGCAAAAAACCAAACTCAGGTTCCATAGAAGTGATTTAAGACCAACTTTTGGAAATGAACAACAGGTCTTTATACGTATTTTGAAAGTGTTGGAGTATTTCTCTCAGCTGAACGAATAATTTGGGGCTCAATGTGTCTGAAGATGAAGCCTACATGGTCCTTCATTTACAGTCCTTTTCACTAGCCTGTCCCTTTTAAAAAACTGTGGTCTAGTAGATGAAAAACTCACTTGCCATGTGACTAGGGGTGTAACCTATCTGACACAGGATAGCTGCAATTTTAAGTACTTAAGTCATAGCTAGTCAGATTTAATGAAATAGCACCAGTCCTAATCTGTTCTTCAGATCAATTACACAGCGTGTAATTCCTTCAGTATCCAGTCTTCATTTGAAATGGTTCATTACCAGCCATACAAAAGTGCATTGTGGCCAGTTTCAGGATCCAGGGAGCTGGGCTATAAGAAGCACTACAGTAGAAGTTGTAGTTCAGAAGGTGTTTAGCATATTATTATTCAGCTGGGGCACAAATACCTTTGTTTTTTCATGAGAGGCTTTGGGAGGAAGAACAATTGCTAGAATTCACTTGATTGAAGACGTTTCTAACAATTATGTTCTATTTTTGCCTGCTGCTGTTTTTACTGCCTGCTTCTTAGTGCTGATCAAAGTTGATGGTAGAGGTCATACCACAGATAAAACATGGTATTGCAAATTAGAAGATCTAGCTAACAGGCTGGAGAGAAACCAAGGAATGATCAGATCTTCACATGCCTCTAGACCTAGATGCCAACACAGGAAACTTAATACCCAAAAATTCTCTTTGGAAAGAATCCCAAACTACAGTGACCTCTTTAGTGCAATATAATGGATTTCAGAATGGCTTCATAAAATACAGTGACTTACATTACAAAAGCATTAATGACATGTAACTAAAAGGGGTTCAGGGATTGTCCTAAATAAAAACAATGGCTTTTGGCCAAAAATGCTTACAAATACACAGTGAAACCATATACGGCAACCTGATTTTGAAAAATAATTTATGAATCAAGAGTGTCTTCAAAGATATGTAGAAGCATAGATTACTTTTCATAGTATTAGTGTTTCCTATTGGCCATCAACAAGTGTTGTGCAGTTTTCAAACTCTTTGTAATGTTTAATTTAAAAAATGCAGCAACTAGAATGCAAGTTGTGACTGCAAATATTT